TCAAACAAGAGTATCAGTAAAATCTTAATTGGGCGTTCGTTCGAGGGTCTAATTCCTTTTATTTCGGGTGGCCGACTGGATTTGGCCGCCCGACAGCTAGCCCGGACCTCTTCTCGACGCCCCCGTCGAGCCTCGACCTATCTGTCAAAAGAGCATGTCCCTGACTCGAAGGGTGCTTCCCTTCTCCGCACTGCAATCATTCGACCATCCTCAGCGTCACCCTTTGCTCTGTGAAGAACCACCTCATTGTTAAGAAGAGTCCCCATGAAACCACTCCCAGGAATGTTAAATATATTTTGAGGCACGTTCTCTCAGGCATCAAAGAAGACGGGCGCGGTGCAGTCCGCTCTACTACCCGAAGCCGTGACCGATGTGCGACCGGTATGACGTTGCTAAAAGGCTTGTCTGCTAACGGGTCAGAATTAACAAAGATCCCATCGGTCGATGTTACCGGTTTACCTCGTTCGGGCCCGATAAGAATCGTGTTTGTGACGGGTACTTTTGCGATACCTGCGATATATAGGGGTCCGTCGCGTATCGGCTTGGACGGTTCCCGTACGGAGCAGCGTATACGTTGATTAAGTGTTGGCCTTAAAGACGTTGTTGTATCAGTAACTTGCTCAGGGCCTCGTTTTCGTGGTGATAGTACTCTCCGTCCTTCTTCCTCTCCCTCTCGATCCATGATAACTATATCTGGGTCAACCCTCTTCTTTGGACAAAGAGCTTGCGATGATTTGATAGAGGTGACGTGAATGGGTACTACAGGCGTCTTGTCCCCTGATTGTAAGAAAATCCCGACTCTCTGACTCCTTACCGTCGCCTTTACTTCGTTCAACGACGCTCGTCTGACCTCCAAGTACTCCTTCTTCGGAGAAGATACTGATGCATCTCTCAGATCTTCGGTTCTCGTGACGCACAGTCGGTCAAGTCCTACTACCCCATAGTCAATTACCTTCTGAAGATCACGGCAATCTCTTCCGATATGGTTATCGGAACAACAATACATGCATCTGCCACGAGTGGAAGAAGGTTGAGCCTCCACACGTCTGTATCCTTCGTGTTCGCCTGATACTTGTGCGTCCTGAGGACGCGGCCTAGACTCCTGTTGGCCGCTGGCATCATCCCGATGGTCTCGATCATCTCTCCTCTCGTGTCGCTCGCGGGAATTGTAGCGTCGGTCTCTCGCCATCGCATGGTAATATCTATCTTCATCCTTGGGATACTCCTCTGCATCCCGGAGGTCTTCGCGACCTGGATCGTATATCGGGCTGTGAGGGTAAGTTTCCACCCGACCGTGTCGTCGATACCCGTTATCCCTGTCTCCCGTATAGTCCCTATGATAGGCAGTCAGTCGATCTCGATCCTCGTCCTCGTACCTAGGGGAGTCGTCACAACGTCTATGATACCTCTGCTCCCTCGATCGATAATCGGTTAGTGTCTGAGGATTTCTATCCTCTAGGGGTCTCCACGATCCTGGCCCCCGATTATCCCACCTCAGCGAGTACGCTGAACCAGTCCTAACTCGATCGCACCTCGGCAAGTTCGACGAACCGTTCCTCGCCTGATACCCATCAGTCTCCATCTTCGCCTCTATCCAGGCGATTTGTCGAGTTAGGGCCTTGATCATATCTCTCAGGTTTGAATCGTCTGTGATGTTTGCTCGTCGCTCTCCAGACTCACTTCGATCCCAGCGACGTGAATAGGGAGATCCTGGTTTGTCCTGGCAGGTTGTCGCTTCCGCCTTGGTTGCTATATCTGTGACCTGTCTCGCTAGGCGCTTCATCATTTCCCTCATCTCTCTTACCTCTTTCATCACGGCTTTCACGTCTCCTCTGTCTGACCAAGGGTAATCCTTAAAATCCGGACACCTATCAGTGTCATATTCCTGATAGAGGGAGGAGTCTCGTCTTCTCATCCCTCTCCACACCAAATCTCTATAGTCGTCTGCTCCTGCTTTTGTTGCCAGTTTAAGGACTTCAGGGAAATCTAATTTGTCATTCGGCAAATCTCTAAGTATCGCTTTCTGCTTACCCATGGGCAGGCGACCAATGAAAATGGTGCACTGCTCAACCTCCGACAGCTTGCCCTTCTCCATCAACACACCAGATATCTTTTGGAAGCGCTTACCGAAAGCATGTACGCTCTCGTCTTCATCTTGAGTCATAGTCTCGAGGTCCTTGATGGAGTATTTGCTATCCTCCAGTTTGTAGAGCTCGCAGAGATTTGTCTTATACGTAGCCCACTTCCTATCCTTGGGTCGGGCTTCTTTAACTTCCTTGCCAAGACTTGGGTCCACGTTGAATAGGAAGTTATCTATAATTTCCTCCTCCGACCACTGACTACGACCGGCATGAAGCTCCCACTTCTCCAGGTATTCAGTGATACCATAACCTCTGAAAGTAGGCGGTTCGGAAGGTAGGTGAGAAATAATATAGCGATCTCTGCTCTCATAAGGGAGCACATATGACACACCAGTCTGGGGATCAAAGACCTGCTTAGGCGGGGCCCTATCCCTGTCTCTATTCTTCGAATACTGTTCTCGGTCATACTCGTCTCCCCAATCGTTTCTGTGCATATCTGCTCTAGGCTCTCTACGCTCATACTCTGGTAAGCGCCGTCCTGCCATCTCTCGTCGGATACTGAATGACTCTGACTTTGTGTCCTTATCCAACTCAGTAATGTCTGGTCCGCCCACCACTTTTGGCTCTCCATCTTCAGCGTGCTCTGCCCATCTCAGAGGAGCCTTTTGCTTAATGCACTCCTTGAGACCCTGCAAGGCGCGGTCAGGCGACGATCGGTACACGCCAGTTGGTTGCCCCGCAGTCGGTTGAGGACCCATCGTGTCTGATTCCATAGACACTGTATCACAGCCCGGACCTATGTCAGAAACTGAAGCCCGGACCTAATCTTTGTCCGGCAGCCCGGACCTATGGATTTCACACATAGCCTAGACCTATGGATTTGACAGGCAACCTAGACCTATGGATATTGTCCGGCAGCCCGGACCTATTCTTCATGTTACCCAGTCAAGGTCGTAGCACGGACCTAATGATTTAGCTGGACCGAAGCGCTTATAACTGTATTTGGTGGGGGGATGGGTTAACACCTCTAACAACAAACTGTCCTATGAGAAAAAAAAAACTAAGAATAGTCAGAAATAGGGATGTGAGAGATCTTCAAGAGACATTGGTAGAGAGAAAAACAGAAGGGATTAGGATTAGGCGCGATGACAGCCTAACTGGAACTTTCCGCAGATCGACGAATCCCTTGCGGATCGGAGCCGCACCAAAGTCGTACTAATCTAGACTGATCTAAAAAGAAAAGGGTGTTAAAATCTCGGTTTCAGATTGGCCTATAGGCCTTATATTCAAGTTCCCTCGAATATAAGGCGTGGGCTCAACTCGAGGGAGTTCCGTTTACTGCACCCTCGAGTAGGTATCCGAGCAACGGACCCTGTCCCCTAGTCAAAACCCAAAATTAAGAGCCGAGCGTACTCACTCTTTGAAATTTTAAGCCTTTTTCGCAATTTTAAGGTATTTTTCATCGTTTAAATTAATAAAAATTGCCTATAAACGAGAAGAAAACACTACCTCGCGCTCAGCGCATAGGGGGATGTAATGAAAACCCTAGCGAGTCGCGAGGTACGCACGTGCTTCATCCTACCATTTGCTTTTGATTTAATCCGAATATTTTAATAACTGAAAATTCCCGGCACTTGCCTCAGGCCTTCGGGAACAAGCTAGTAGGTTCACCCAAAACCAGGTTACCGCAACGTCCCTTTCCCTTCTTCGTCTAGGGAATTCTTTTGTATTTTTCAGTTATAAAATTTTAGGGGTAGAAATAAAATTTGGGGAATTTATTAAAATTTCGGCAGCGTTTCGCCTCCCCCCGTTGGGATGGGGTTCGGGACTATTGTCCCTAGACAAATGCTACCTACCCAGAACTAAAGCCAAATGAAACAAGAGGAAAGTCTCTGAAAGAAACAAATTTCTAACGTATTTATAATTAATTTCCCTAATCGCTTTTAATATATTTATATAAAAAAAAAGAATTAATAATTTAAATTAGGAAATTTTGCGAAGTTTCGACAGCACTTTGGCTCCCCCCCCGTCGGGATAGGGTTTGGTCGAAGACCTCAAAATACCGACGGAAGATGTTTAACAAGAAAGATTAAGAACTGAAAAAGTATCTCAATCTTTAGCTAATTTTCAAGTATTTTCTTTAATTATTTAAGATTTAATTCAATAAAATTCAGCAAATTGCCGAGAAATTTTGGCAGCACTTTGCTTCCCCCCCGTTGGGATGGGGTTAAGCGAAGTATCTCCCGAATCACAAAGTCGAAATAAAGTCGACCCCCCTTTCTTGAAGAATTTTAGATATTTATTTTGATTTTTAATCGATTTTTAATGACAAATTATTACTTAAAACAAATTTACAACTTAAATTATTTAATAAAACAAAATTCCCAATATTGATTAATTTCAATTTGGTTAACTGGATTTACACAAAATTTTCCCATCACCGGTCGGATAGAAAGACTTGTATCCGCCCGGCTACGCACCGCCTTTCCCCAACTCAGGGTTAGGGTTTACCCTAATTAGGGTTTTCCCCAATTAGGGTTTTGGGGTTTTGCGCGCGACCGCACGCCACCAGGTCCGACTTCTCGAGGCAGGAAATTTTCCGTCGGTTTGTAGTCAGTTAAAAGTCGGGTTCCAACGGATCACTTTTGCCGACTTCTGTTTCCCTTTTATTTTTTATAAAAATACAAAGAAAATCACTAATTCCTCTTAATTTTCCTCTCTTTTCCTGTCTGTTGGCGGTCACCACTCGTCCAAACGGAGTCCGTTTTCCCCGACTAAGGTATCAAAATGTCGGGAAAAATACGAGGACCAACTTTGGTCCAGGCTGGTTTCACCTAATTTCACTTCTTTTCTTCGTAATTAAAATAAAAGGAATTCATGATTTTCGGAATTTCAATTATGAAAATACAAAAAATTCCATATCTCTATTTCTAGCCGTAAGAATTTCTCAAAAAACGTCTCAAAACGTTCACCTCGACGAGAGGTCGAACTTTTCTCCCAGTGCGCCTCGCGCAAAAACGCGCGGATCGGGAGATATTGAAAAAAAAAACGAATTAAATATTTAAACTCCTGATTTTAGGAATTTTTAATTAAAAAATATAAAAAATTTCATTTCTCTTTTTCTAGCCGTTAGAATTTCTCAAGAAACATCTCAAAACGTTCGCCTCGACGAGAGGTCGAACTTTGCTCCCGGTGCGCCTCGCGCAAAAACGCGCGGATCGGGAGATATTGAAAAAAAAACGAATTAAATATTTAAACTCCTGATTTTAGGGGTTTTTAATTAAAAAATACAAAAAATTTCATTTCTCTTTTTCTAGCCGTTAGAATTTCCCAAGAAACGTCTCAAAACGTTCGCCTCAATGAGAGGTCGAACTTTGCTCCCAGTGCGCCTTGCGTAAAAACGCGCGGATCGGGAGATATCGAAAAAAAAACAAATTAAATATTTAAACTCATGATTTTGAGGATTTTTAATTAGAAAATACAAAAAATTTCATATCTCTTTTTCTAGCCATTAGAATTTCTCAAAAAAGGTCTCGAAACGTTCGCCTCGACGAGAGGTCGAACTTTGCTCCCAGTGCGCTTCGCGCAAAAACGCGCGGATCGGGGGATATCGAAAAAAAACTAATTCAAAAAATATCAAAAAATGAAACTAATCAAGGAAATGGGCTAATTAGTGCTTGACTAATCAGCCCATACACCCCCGTTGGTTGGGGAAGGCCGCGGCCTTGGGGATGCTGCTCCCCTCCCCGGCAACGGCGCCAAAGTTGTTAGGAAAACCCGGGGAGGGGCGCCCGCCTGTCGCTGAAGCCAAGGGCAACGGCGCCTGTCACTCGCCGCGCCCGCGTCCGAGGTCCTCAACGACTAGCAGGGTGTCGGGGTTTGCGCTGCCTGTCACGCCCCCACTTTAGCATGAGTGTCTGAACTATAGTGGGGAACAATTCTCCCAAGGAGCGACGAGTGTTTCATCTGCCAATGAGAAGCTCGGAGCTGTTCTGGCAACAATGGCACGCGACTGATCTGCCAATGAACGGCAAGTGACTGATATTCTGAAGGGAACATATCTGCCAATGAGCAGTGGGTGTCTGTTCTGCCAATCTTCTGTTGGGAACAGATCTGTCAATGAACAGACGGTGTCTGATATGCCAACGAGCAGCTCGAAGCTGATCTGCCAGAAGGTCGCAGGCGACTGATCTGCCAATGACCGAACACCACGAAACTGGTCCGGCAATCAGCATCCCTTCCCGAACACCTGTGCTTGCATCTGTACGAGCATCTTCACGCACCTGGAGCTCAATCATGACCAGGTTCTCTTTTGGTGTTCACTCTTTCTCCCGTTTGACCAGTATAGTTGTATARATCTCCTATTCCCGCTGGTTTTCCCAAGCCAGTTCGAACTCTCTTTCTCTCATCAAGGTCGTTCTCTTATATCCCTTAGTTGATCGATGCTTGTCTTGACCAATCAGCAAATCGTAATCTTTTTCCAATCACACAATCATTCCATTTTGAAGATGACAAGGGTTAGGCACTCTCAATCCCTCATTGTCCTGTTCATTGATTTTGAGCAGTCTCGTCAATTACATGGTTCATGGGGACTGCGATTCAACCTTGCTTCTGAAA